TACCATCTTACACCAGTGAGAATGGCACATATTAAAAAAAACTAGCAACAACAAATGTTGGCAAGGGTGTGGAGAAAAAGGAAGTCTTCTGCACTGTTGGTGGGAGTGCAAACTGGTCCAACCACTATGGAGAGCTGTGTGGAGATTTCTGGACCTACTAAACATAGAGCTTCCATATGATCCAGCAAATCCACTCCTAGGTATTTACCCAAAGGACACAGAAACATCAATTCCAAAGAACACCTGCACCCCTATGTTTATAGCAGCACTATTTACAATAGCTAAGCTTTGGAAACAGCCCAAATGCCCAAAAATTGATGACTGGATCAAGAAGATGTGGTATATATGTATACCATGGAATATTACTCAGCATTCAAAAAAGATAAACACATGCAATTTGCAGCAGCATGGATGGCGCTGGAAGGGATCATGCTCAGCGAAATAAGCCAGAAAGAAAAAGAAAAATACCGGATGGTCTCACTCATAGCAGGAATCTAGAAAACTTAAATAAGGGACCAGGAAAATGAATAACTATAAGAAAGTGAAAATCAAAATCAACAAAAAACTATGAACCAGAGACACTTTTTGGGGGTTGGGGGGCAGGAGGGGAGGGATTGGGGTCAGAATGGGAGGGTTGTAATTGTATGGGGAATATAAAAATAAAATTTATTATTAAAAAAAAACAAGTTGGATATAGACTCAAGTTATTTTGAACTAATAAAATAAAATAAAGGTATTTTGAACCAATTAAGCTATTTTGAACCAATAAAATAAAACTAACTGAGCCTTACTCCTTGATAAAGTAAGTTTTATCTCCATAGCCTTATCTCCAAAATAAAAAATACTTTAGTATTATCAAAGCTCACTTCTACCCACATTCCCAATGTGGTATATCTTTTAATTATATTGCAATTAATAGACTTTCAAACTAAAATAAATGCAGTGGGTAGGTATGTTTCATTATATTACTTAATAGATGATAAAGAAACCCACACCATTTATTCTGGCCTCTAAATCAAGCTGGCTTTAATCACACTCACACAAAATAAAACTGTTATAACTAACATCAGTAGTTTACTAAATATCAAGCAGTAGGTTAAAAGCATGCATTAAAGTTGGCATGGTTATGAAGTCCATTTGACATAAAAGGTCACTAAATAACAGTTACTTAACTTGTGCAGGGTCATACGGACCTTTGGTAGACCTGGGTTTGAACCTAGGTATGATTCTAGAGTCCATGCTCCCAGCAGTTTGACAATACTGCATCTTTATAATTTAGGTATTCCTCAGCATTCAGCACTATTCTCTCAGTTCACTTACCATTTCCTGGCAATATCATCTACTGCTATAGCTTCAAGAATTTCCTCATAATGTGATTTCCAAAACTATGATTCTAGCTCTCATCAGCTTCCTATGTTGAAGAGTCATTGTTCAGCTGTCTGCTAGACTTTTTGTCACATGGGTGTCCTATAAGTACCTCACAAATCCAGAACTTGTCACCGTCTTTCTCTTTGTCTCTTATGGTCCTTATTCATTAGAACAGTTGTGCAATCATTTTAAATTTTGCCTTACCATTCTGGGAATCATCAAATGTTGTATTGTATTCCTCCTCATCTTGAGGGGTTTGATCACATTTGTACCCTCACTAACACATGTCTCAGCTCTTCAAATTCCTTGCATATTAAATTTTGGAACAATCATTAATCTTTCTCTAGGCTCTCATCTCTTCCAAACAATTCTATACATTTTTTTTCAGAGTTACCTCCCTTTAGTATACATTTAGAGTTATTTTTCTGTTTTGTTTTGTTTTTTTAAAAAAACTTCTAAGCTTCAAAGCACATAAAGTAATATGCACAGTCCTTAGCTGGAGTCTTTTTTTATGTTGCAGGCTTTGTGCAAAACTTTGGTTCAATTTGGTCATCCATTAACTACATACTGTCAAGTCTTAAACTGGAGCATACCTTCATACTTGGATAAACCCTTTATATCTCCGCTTTATATCATTTATATACATCTTGTTTCCTTTTTTTGACTCTGAACTTTTTGAGGACATGTGTAATTCACCTCCACAATCCACTCAACCTAAACACTATATTATGTATACAGGAATTATTTACACAATGTATATAACATAAATTTGATCCAAAAGAAAACTGCAGGACTATACACACCCTGCAAAAGTATATTACCTTTGCAAACAACACTTTCAGTAAACATTCGAGTAAAATATGAGAGTCTTTATAAATTAATTAATGCTTACATCTAACATATCTATAATGGACTGAATAAGTCTTGAAACAAAATATTTGTTAACTAGAAATCTCTATCAAAAAATTTAATGTTATAAATTATATGTAATAAAGAATCCAAAATACTGAGTATATTTAAGTGTGTTTTGATTCAAGTGGAAATTATATAAACTTCCAGTGTAATTTTTAGGTTAAATATATTTTTATTTGGTCACCTATAAAGGTAAAGGTGGTGGTGTTAACTTTGCTTAACCTAAAATTCATAAAACCAGTATAATTCATCAAACTTTTACTAGAAGGAAATCTGCATCTATGTTGTAATAAAGAACAAGGAGGGAAGGAAGGACAATAGTCTGTGGTAGTAGAATATGGGTAAGTTGGCAGTGGGTACACTATGGTGGTATTAACGAATGGAGGTATCCCAATATTACTTCAGCTAAAAATAAGTCAAAAAGAAACAGAGGCAGGAGCTACAAAAAGCACATTTATCAGAGGTAATTGCAAAAAAGGGTTCCATTTCCAACTGAAAGGTCAAATATACTATATTTGCTTATAGACTTTATATTAAATAAACCTTGTTTTTGTGCCATAAGTTTCAATGCAAGTAAAAGAATATTGTGTGTAGATTTACAAAGTGTTGGTAAGTGATATAAGCTCCAACTCCTAAACAAAAAGAATATGCCAAAGCATAAAACATTTTGTAATAAATTAAAATGACCATTATACTTTTAAATAAAAATATCTCTACCCATTAACTCTTCAAAAACTATTTGATCTCAGATTGAGTTTTCCTAAATGATGGTGGTAGCTGTTTAAAGAAATAAAACTATTTCTTACTTTCTATATAGTTTGTGATTCAGTTATTTTAAAATAAATTCGCATGTTAAGCAACACATAAGGAACATAAAATACCAACATCAACTTTCTTCCACATTATCAAACCCTCCCCATTTTTAGTTCCTTAAAAAATAAAAATTGAATAAAAAAACTCATCCCTGGTTTTGAGATAAATGGTTTAAAAATGTACCTTGAAAAATTAAAATCCCAGAAGTAAGTTTTATTAGCAGTGTTATGGCAAATTTAAAGGCATAAAATCATGGTTAAATGACCTAGTCTTAAAAGACCTAGTCTTAGATTTTATAGATAATAAAATGTGTTACAGATAACAAAATGTTATAATTAAATACACATAAAATAATGAAATGCAAAAATATAACATACAATTCCTCTTCACTTGCTCCTTTGTGTTACAACTCTTTTCTGTTTGGGGGCAGGGAAATGGGTTTGGCTCAGAGGGTGTGTCGTCATTCTAGTTTAGGGTAAAGAGTTTGAGAGGAGAACAACCAAAGGGAAGCCGATACAATCTCTAGTTTCCCTCAGATTCCACTTGACCTTGTGCAGCAGGACATCTCCTTCATGAGGAAAGGCAAAATGGGACAAGAACAAATCTGCTGTTTCTAACAGTTCCCACATGAATTAAAAAATAGGTCAAGATTCTCTTACTACAAACATTTTGTGAGTTCATAATATCAACAAATCATGGATCCCAAAGCACATACATGTCCTTCCTCTAAGTAGAACTGGCTTACAACGCTTCAATAATTCTTCTCATAATAATGCCACTTGTATCGAAAAATGAAAATGTCTAAGCAAAACAATGTCATGTTCTCTAAGAATTTTAAACCAAAGCAATTACAACTGAAAAGTTATTTAAGACAAAACCTAAACATAAAACTAATGAGCCTGAATAAATACAGTTCACAAGTCAAGAGTAAAAAGATAAAACATGAAATTATGGTAAAAGCTTATTGTCTTTTTTTTTAAAAGTTCTTTAATAATGTGCTAAGTATAAAATTTGAAGATTCGGGTCTTTAAAAAGGCAGAAATAATTTTAGCACGTATGTAATATAAAAAGGTAAGATATGGGATACATCCACAAAATTTAATAACTTACAAACTTATCAAAGAACTTATATTTCGACTACTGTAGCATATGTTTAAGTATACAGCTTCTCTTTAGTTTTCAACCACAACAAGATATCAAATAAAAATCACATATGTGGAATTTTTATTACAGGTCTCCCCTACAATCTGAATGTAGCACATCTTATTTGGTATGATTTGGCACGCTATTTTGTGGTCCTTAAAAATGCCTGAAAATTTTTCCATACAAACTGATAGTAATAGTCTTCCCAGACACCCAAAATAACTTACCAAATCATAGCAAATGGGAATGTTCTACTTTTGGATAGCAGGGAAACCTGTGTACAATCTAAAGACTATAATAAACATTTAATACTCAAAATAATTGTATTTTGATTTAGTTATCAAGGAATTGAACTAAATACTTACTGAACTCCTAATTGAGTTTGTAAAAATCTACTTACTCTAATTCTCCCCAGAGAACATTAAAACATATCTCTAACAAGTATACTGTTACTTCCTTGGAAGGTAAAATAATATTTAGCTGCACGATTCCTAATCAAGTAACGCTGACACTGACAATCTTTCAAAAAGTATATGAATTTATCAGCAGCTCTACTAGAATAAGAAAAGGGGGACAGTAACTGAAATAACTCCATAGTAGTAGCACTGACATTAAAAGTACAAAAGGGAAAGAATGGATGGAGAGAAGCATTACCTACAAAACTAAATTCATGGAACTAAAGTTAACAAAAGTTAAACTTTGTTATCAGGTTGAAACATTGCAAAAAAAATTTCAATTATTAAAGATAATCTCAATAAACCAACCTGGCTATCTCTTCTCGATGAGCTGTCCAATCTCGGATGTAGTCTTCCTGCTCTTTTATCCGGTGCTTGAATGAAGAACTAGTAGGCATTGCTGACCCAGAGCTCTGCAATCGAGTCGTTTTCAGGGCTGGAGAAGTACGTAGACGAGTATGTTTAGGGGAATTACGGTTTGATCCAAATTCATCTTCTGAGGTGGAAGCATAATCAGTAGGAAAGCGCCTCCATCTTGAATTTACTAAATTAGTTTAATTATTAAAAAAAGAATTATTATTTTATCTTTTAGAGGAGATAAAAATAAAAATCATGATTTCAAAAACACTGTGAGAGCACACACAACACAATTTTCCATAACTGACATACACATAATCTCACAAAAACTGTTCAAGTCTACTATTTGTTAAACATATAAATATTATACTTTGGTGAATTAAAACAATGAATAATTAAAATAATCAAAAGATTGTATTCTTTTGTAGTATGGTGAATAAGCATTCAGATGAAAAATCCACTAATGATAAACAACTAAGCAAGCTCTAGCTGTTATTTATAAATGTTTAACTAGGGAACTTTTCCATTGCAAGTATTTCTCACTTGAGTGAAGATATGTATTTTATAAAAAATGACAACAATAACAAAAATAAAAATATGGGAAAAGATTTCCTCATGCCAAATGGAGTTTCAACATGGAAATGATAAAAGCCCTCTTTTCCCAACATACAAATGTGCAGAATTCCTACTGTGGAAATTATGTTTTTATGGCAGGAAAAAGACATTACCTCGTCATTCAACATCCTGTTATGCTATGATTGGAAAAAATCTTTTTACATGGTAAAAACACAACAAAGCATCTTCAGTACAACTTTCTGCTGTTTTGACACTGAAAGCATATGGTGAAAATAGACAATGGCAGAAAAACTACAAGGACCAAAACTCCAACAAGCAATTCTCACAACCATTGACATTTCAGGCACAGAAAATACTATGAATAGCCACATTAAAGAAAGTGGCAATCACTTTCTTATTTAAGGTTAGTAGAGACATTGAAAAATGGTACTGCTGACATATTTGAAAAATCTGAAGTTAATGCAGATACTTCACACTACAACTGTTAAAATGAGAATCATACAATTAAGCCAAGAAGCATAAATAGTGGCAACAAAGGGAAATAACAGCTAATTCATGGTAAACTTCACAGGAGCTGTACCTGTTTAATATACTAATGTATACCTTATACTTAGCAGAGTCTAACTAGAAATTTTCCACACATTTTCTTGAATAATTGAATTCCTGAATATTGACCATTTGCTCTACCCAAATTAGTAAAAATCTATTTTTAAAAATGAGATTATTTTGGCGATTAAAATGACAAAATCTTAGTATGTGTTCTGAGTTCCAATTATTGTTAATACTGAGATCCTTCTCTTCCTCTCTTCCCACCTCTCCAACTTTTAAAACAGAAAGTGAGACCTAAACTCCTTAGGCTGGTAAAGTTTAGAATTCCTTCATCCTACCCCACCAGATCTTTGTAACCTTCCTGTAGTTTCTTATCCTAAGTGCATTTTTGCCACGGCTCTATCAAGGCCCAGTTGGCATGTAGATAAAACTGATATACCTTGTCACTACAGTTGGCTTAAGAAACAGAGTAATCAGTAATCAGGAATATGTCACAAATCAATCTACCCATTTACTTTGACTAACATTCTTATGGGTATGAGAAAATGAAGATATGCAGATACTACACAGCTTTCTGTAAATGTACACAAATACATATACAGAATTCTAGGTAATTACTTAAAAGGGTTATTGAAGAGGGTGTTAAATAAATTAACATTGTATTTCATTAGCATAGAAAATACATTGCCATTGTACAGATTTACTCATTTCTAGGCAAGTTTAGGAACAATAGTAAAGAGAGTTGAGAAAACAGAGATAAGCAAGTCAATTAGAAAACTATTAAATACAGAAATATGGCCAAAAAAAATCTGTACTTTTCAATAAAGGCATTTCATTTAATGCTAAGTATTTACTTTCCCACCTATGGAAGGCAATTTCATAAATAAGAAAAGGATCATTTGTTAGATTAAATTTCCTGATTTTTGATTTGGAAACCTAGTAACTATACTGATAAGTAAAAATTATTTAACAAGAAAACAAAACTAGTAAGATTTGAATAAACTGAAAAAGTTATAAAAATATAAGCAAGTATATGGAACTAAGTAGTTAATTGAGAAAGAATGGCATCAATGGTTGATATATTTTATAAGCAGCAGAGTACATGAAAGCATATGATAAATTAAGAACCAAGTGTTACTAATGTATGCCCAGTAACAGGTGACAACATATAAGTAGAATCATATTAATTTTAGTAGTCTTGAAATCAGAAATATTTAGGAAAAAACAAAGACAAAAATTCCTTTTCAAAAGAAATTCATAAACTTTCCACCTATTTTTACAGGTCTAACTAGAAACCAGATAAGAATAGTAAAGTTTCTACTAAAATCTTTAAAAAGAAAAACATTCAAAGAATAAAGCTTATTTTAAAAACTGAAAGGTAGTGGTTTTACTTCCAGGCTTGTTCTTTTAAGATAGAGGACAAATGATAGATAAAATAAGTAGAGTATAGCAGAGATATGGAAATATGATTAATAAGTATTCAAATAATTAAGGATTATCTTTACCAATGGAAAGTATATCATATGCAGTGTCTATGAAGCAGAACTGAAGTTACCTCTGAATGACATTTAGACTGTGTAACAACAAAGAGTAGAGTTCAGACAAATTAAAAGGAAAGGGAGTGTAATGTCAGAACTGGCAACCTGTTATTTCAAAGGTCTCTCAATGCTATTTGTTTTCTTAATCTTTGCTTCTGAGCATAGAAGCTATACATTTTATCTGAAGAAAAGTCCCTATAATCTGCCAGTTACTGCAGAAGAAACTTCAAATCAGTGTTTTTAATAGAATTTTCGAACATAATGATCTTAGACACTGGATAATCTAAATTCTTCAATTTACCAAGAAGAAACAGGTTGGGACAGGCCAAGAGAGGTTTTGCTTTGTGTAAAGTTTAAGCCAGGTCTACTGACTTCCCAGATTCGAAAACTCATTCCTTGTTACTCCAACTGCTACAATTAAATGTTACAAAGTCTCTGCTTTCTACATTTCCAATTAGACTAATTTTTAAAAAAGATATCTTCAATTTCTCAAAATGATAATTTTTGTAATTTCTGTGAAAAAAAATTTTGCATCTTCCCTAGAGTTTATTCTGTTTAGTTAAAATCATTTATAGAATTAAATTTATCATTAGGTTTATTTCATATATTAGTACTATTAAGGCATTTTCAGGTATATCATTAAATTGAAAATTTACATTGACAGTATCTGAAATTCTAATCTGTAGAAGTCTTCTTTGTTGGCGAAAATACTAGATGGCACATAAAATTATAGAAAGTTCTCAGATGGGCTTAATTTTGTAGCTAACTGAAAATAATTTGTGATATTATAATGCCTATTTTAGTTATAAAATTATGTAGCTCTCCCTCTTGTGGAAAATAGTAAACCACTAATAAACACAGTACCCATGATGTAAAGAATTTAAAAGGGGAAAAGTTATTAGGATCATATTATCTGTGAATTCTTAGATTTTTTTTTTTTAATGTCAACCAAAACTCTTTGCCATTAAAGGACATCAACATGTACAGATGCAATAAATATATTTCAGAAAATAAGCAAGGTTTCTTCACACCTTATATAAGAATATTTTCATGGGAAATTAAACCACAAATAAGTTTTACATTTATATTATGAGCATGTAGCAATAAGATAATTAGGAGGGAAAAATCCATGACAATTCTCTGTATTGGTCTTTTTTCTAGATGAACAAATAACTCAAATCATGCATGCCCAACATTTAACTCTTACATCTGTTAATTCTGAGGATTAGAATAAAACAGGGAAAGCAAACAATCTAAAAATAAGTCTAATGATGGTACCAAGATGTTCTATTTTTTATAATGTGCACTTAAAATATAATGATAATGCTTTATCTTGACAATTCAGAGTACTTAGTTTGAATGTCTTATTTCAAAACCTTTTGAAATAAGGTCTTCAATAAGACCAAAGAGAGGCCTTTTGCCCTCTTTTTTTTTTTTTTGCATTCAAGATACTGTAACTATCAAAAGTAGAAAAGTCATAATATAAAAGATTCCTCAATTAGCTAAACAAAAAAAAAATTAAGCTTTTTTGAAACTACCTATGCTATGTAATTATTTCAGTATGTTACTAGTGTCTGAAAGATGCTGGCAATTGTCTTTCTAGAAATGGCAGAATACCATAAAATGGACATCGTAAGAGAATACAATCCTTGATTACAATGTGGTTTTTCCTGGATTACAATGTGGTTTTAGGCTCATAAGATGGGATAGAGAACCTGAAGTTGGTGCAGATCAGAATGAAAAGATAACAGTTGAATAATACCAAAATCTTTAAATTATGTATGTGCTTTGTACACATTACTGATGATAAATTCAGTAGTTTCTAGCTGCCCTTGGGAAGCTTGCGTACAAATAGAGGCTAATTCTCAGAGCTAGACTAGATGTGGTAGAAAAGCAACACGCTGGCAATTTAAAGCTTTGGATTCTCATCCTGTCTTTACCATAGCATGTGACCAGGGCAGGTTATTTTGTCTCTTGGCCTTGTTCACTAAACTAAATAACCCTTCCAGCTTTTAAATTCAATGATTCTAAATATTTAATATAATGTTATTAAGTATTACAAAGGCCAAAATCATGTACCTCAATTTGCCCGAGGGGATTTCATTTAACAATTCAAGTTCTTTTGGGACATTCTTAGAGATTTGCAATTTATCAAATTCTGTATCCAGAAAAGAAGAAAATACAATTTATCTTTAAAGACATATAACAACTTTTTAGAATTGTTGATGTAGTTATATTTGGTTTTTATCTAGAATAATTCCCTTATGTTAACCACTGAGGAATAAAGCCAGATTACTCATATGTTAAGAGTCATTACAGAAAGAATTGTTCCATGCTACTTGGTAACACACAGCTTATATTAAGATAGACTACTTAAGCACTTTTATATACTTAGAGATGAGGTAACAAAACAAGTGACAGGGCAGAAGAAATTTGCCAGAATACACACTGAAGATGTGGCACCAAGGAAATATGAATTAAAGAGGTAAAGTCATAAAGGACAACAGGATAACAACAATGGGTAAATATAACCCAAAATATAGTAATAAGTTTTAGAATACTGGGCAATAAATCCATCAATGACCAACCAAAGTGATGGGGAGTATTAGAGAAAGTGTCCCCTATTCTTTTTGGAATCATGATAAAATGCTATGTATCTTCAGCTTACATTCACTCCTATCACAGTTATGACCATCATCATCTTACCCACTGAACAGGAGAAAGACAGAAATGTGACTGGAGTGGAGAACAGTAGTAGTGAAGAGGAGGATAAAAAAGTTTAAAAATACATATGCAAAATACTATTAATTTTTGGTCTTGCAGGCTACATTGTGGTATATGTAAAAATAAAAGGTAAAGACTGCGTGATGGGGAGTATTAGAGAAAATGTCCCCTATTCTTTTTGGAATCATGATTAAATGCTATGTATCTTCAGCTTACATTCACTCCTATCACAGTTATGACCATCATCATCTTACCCACTGAACAGGAGAAAGACAGAAATGTGACTGGAGTGGAGAACAGTATTAGTGAAGAGGAGGATAAAAAAGTTTAAAAATACATATGCAAAATACTATTAATTTTTGGTCTTGCAGGCTACATTGTGGTATATGTAAAAATAAAAGGTAAAGACTGCGTGATGGGGAGTATTAGAGAAAATGTCCCCTATTCTTTTTGGAATCATGATTAAATGCTATGTATCTTCAGCTTACATTCACTCCTATCACAGTTATGACCATCATCATCTTACCCACTGAACAGGAGAAAGACAGAAATGTGACTGGAGTGGAGAACAGTAGTAGTGAAGAGGAGGATAAAAAAGTTTAAAAATACATATGCAAAATACTATTAATTTTTGGTCTTGCAGGCTATATTGTGGTATACGTAAAAATAAAAGGTAAAGACTGCGTACCAACTCTATTTCTTTCACTCTTAATTGAGGACGTAGAGCTCTTAGATGCTTGCTGACAATAATAAATCTTCAAATGTATTAACTCCTGGTCTACCCCTTCCCCCCACTGGCATTTTCAGCCACACCCACATATGAGGGTGATTATGAAGTAATGAGACTATGTTTATAGAGTATACAGCAATATTTATCTTACTGGCTTTAGCTCTGAATGTGAAGTACATGCCAGAAGTATTTAAATTCTGGTGGGGAGAAAATGGTTCTGTAATTATTATATTTAATGCCAGCTAATTACTATAGTTGTTAAATGATGGAACAGCATTTTATGAGATAATGTTCATCACCAGTAAATTTCTACAGCCCGGTATGACTGATCTGTGACTAGTGATTGTCTCACGAATCCATCTTCTTCCACTGAAATAAAGATTAATATTTACCTAATATACTTTTAACTGTTAGAAGTATATGAAGTGTTTCAAAATGGGGGAAAAAAGGTAAAATATAAATTTATTTATTTTACTTCAGATGATAAAGGCTTTGAATTATGAGACTATTCAAAAGTTAAAACACATCCTTTAACATGCACAGTATTAACTTCTAATTATAACACATAAATTCTAATAATTCACCAGCTAGCTAATTAAAGTTGAACTGATTTGTTTAACATACTTCTAATTTTGAAATAACTAATTTGCCTCAGGACATTAATTGGAAATGTGCATAACTTCTGAATTTTCCATTTTAAAAGCTTAAATAAAATAATTTTTGTAGGTAAAAAACCTTTGAAATATAACCTTTCAATTTTGGAAGCAATATTAGAAAACCATATATTTAAAAAGGGAATCTGAAAACATAAAAGAAATATACTAATATTATAAAAAGTCTGGATCCAATTTACCTGGAGAGCCATGTGCTGAGGTCATACTTTTGACCTTGGAGTCTGATAGTCGAGAGATACTGTTAGCTCTAAGCCTAGGAGTAAATTTATCTGAAGGTACTAATCTGGCTCCACTTCTAATTATGGCTTCTGCATTTCGTGAAGAGGCACTACTTCTAGAGATTGTTGCTTCAGAGTCACTGCGAGCTGATAATGAGCCAAGTCTTGTTCTACGAGGCTGAGCCAATAAATCAATCCTAGAGATATTACGCCTTCCTGTGGGAGGTTTTGATGTGGAACTTGTTGTGGAGACTTCAGAAGCAACAGATGCTTTGTCAGCATCAGCGAGTTCACTGTCTGAAGCTTCACCAAGTCGTGCTCTACGCAAGAGTGAAGTCCTGGTAGGTCGTGGCCTTGGAAGAGTGGTTGATTTACTGGATGAACCAGGTGCTACAGGAGAAGTCTTAGATTTAGTTGTTTTACTTCCTTCCAGTTTAGAATGTGCATGCTCATCAGTTGAGGTAAGTGGAGTTCTTCCATGAGATTTAGAAGAGTATGCTTCCTGATCAGATGACATAATATCAGAGATAGCAGAATGAGGTACACTAGAGGTTTGGTCATCATCTGTTAAATCTACTGAAGGCTGTCTTATTCTTCCACCAGATTGCACAAATTTACGACCATCTGCCCTTGACCCTATATCTGTGGAACGACTTTTTGTTTTCTTTTCTATTTTCTCCCTAGCACCTGAAGAGGATGATTTTGTGACATCTTTGGAAGGAGAACCTGTGGAACACCTATCTTTATAGAGAGTAGTGAAACTTTTTCGCTTTTGGGTTGACTTTCTTTCAGTCTCCCCAGTAACGAGACTAATTGTACTAGCTGTATCCACGTCAGATTCCGGTGAAATGGAGTTGTCTCTATTATAGCTGGGAGTATCTGGGCCTTCATCAGTTTTATTATCTTCACGCAGCTTAGCTTCTAAGAAAGCCATTACTGCTTCAGTATCTTTTAGAATGAGAGTTGTGTCCATACTAGAATCAGTATCCATGGAGTCACTTCTTTCTCGTAGTCTGCTGGCAGATGCTAATGCTAATGAAGCAGGTGTAGAAGAAGTCTGCTTATTTATATGAGGAATAAGTTCTATGGGTATGTTTGGGCTAGGTTTTTCTATGGTGAAGCTTCCTTGTCGCACTAATGACTTGGAAGCTTCTTTCTTGTCTCCTACCTTGGAAGTTTGACTTTTCAGAATTTCCTCAGCTTTTCTTCGCTTGCTCTCATTTTGTATTACCCTTTCTCCTTTACTTGTTGAATGTCCTGAAGTTTTTTCTTGTGGTTGTGACTCTTGTTTAAAAGATTCCTCCCTACATTTATCTATCTGACCTGCAATATTTTTTGAAGAAGATAATTTAGTAGGTGTCCATTGCGCTTGCTCCTTCTGTTCTTGCTGAAGTTTAGTTAATGCTTGCTTTACCAAAGAAGCTTCCTTATCAGTGTCATTTTTCTCCTTTTCAGAACTGCCTAAATTAAGCTGGGTTTTATTATCTACTCCAGTTTTGGAAGCCTCACCATTCACTGCCCTGTTCACTTTATTCAGTGATCTGTCAGCATCTTGGGTCTCTTTTTGGTATGCCTGTGTAGGTGCTTCTTTCTCCTGAAGTTCTGTATCCTGTTTTTCTCCTATCTCTGACCTCTGTGTAAGAACCTTTGCTCTGAAGCTCTCAAGAGATTTTTCTTCATTTGGAAGCTGGGGAAGGGTTCTCCTCCTTCTCTCACTCTGACTAGCCAGAGAAGTTGTTGAGCCAGTACTTCTCACTGAAATGCCAGATTCACTGATATCTGCATCTATAAAATAAAACCACAAGGAAGGAATTTATTGGGGAAAAAAATAAAAACAATATTATATATATTTTATTTTTTTAAATTTTTTTCTTTTTATTTATATATTTTTTACATCATTATTCATTTTTAATCAATATTTGCTTCTCCCCCAGTTGTAGTTCCCATCAATGCACCTGTGCACCATAGCCACAGTTCCCTGTGTTCCTCCCTTCCTCCGTCCCTCTGATCCTGATTGGGAAAAAAATCTTTGCACTGTATACAACTGATAAGGGACTGATCACAAAGATATACAAAGGACTCACATGACTCAATAAAAACAAAGTTAACAATCCAGTCAAGAAATGGGCAGAAGAATTTACAAAACCCTTCTCCAAAGAGGAAATAGGAAGTAGAATCCAGCAATATATTGAGAATTATACCATGACCAAGTGTGATTTACTCTAAGAATGCAAAACTGGTTCAATTTTCAAATACTGATCATTTTAATCCATATAAATAGGCAGAAGATAAATCACATGACCACATCAGTTGATACACAAAAAGCAATTTTGTTGGCAAAATATTATATATATTTTAAAAGTTTATGTTAAGAAATGGCTTAAGTATAAAGTAAAATTCCAAATAAGTCAGCAGTGTGACAAAGTAATTTAAAAAGAACAAGGCTAAGCCACACAAATGAACAGATTACTAAGAGAAGTGTCTAGAAAACAAATGGCATGAGATGAAAATTAGGGTTATCTCATTTTCAATTTACATTTCTTATTCTCTTTCATTTATTTTTTTAAAGATTTATTTTTATTTATGCATATAAGAACTGGGGTGTAGGTCAGAGGTGCGGGGGTGAGAAGAGTCACAAGTGACAGAGTAGGGAGCAGAAAGGTAGATCTACTGAAATACACTCCTGAAGGGAGCAGCGGGCGAGACAGGAGAGGTCTGCTGTGCCATATGGGTCAGTTCCCTGGCTGGGGATCGAACTCATGCCCCAGTGGCTGGCTAAAGCTTGATAGCACTGGGACTTTAACCCCTGTACCACCAGGGAGGCCCTATTGTTCTCTTTCTTTTAGTGTTTATGACAGGGAATTTCATTGTGTTCATTCTTGCGTTTAAGTTTTATCCCATCTTCAAACATCTGTTCAAGAAAACAGACTCTAACTAGATTACAGAATTGCACAAAGAATGCATAATAAACACCAATTATTTGCTACACTTTCAATTACATAGTTAAGAATAATACACTTGCTTTTTAATAAGCATTATCATCTACCTGAAAGAATGACAGGAAGCCAATGAATGAATATAGGCTAATTGAATATAGATTAATGAGAGTGGAATCTATTTCTTAGAAAAGGGATATACCTTTGTAAGGAAATATAAATTAACATATACCTCATTCTAATATTTGGTGACTAAGTGGAAAAAGAGATTAGATATATCTTCTGTGGGTCTTTTGTTGCTTTTTTAATTCTAAAAGTTTAGCATTTAGGGCCTCCCCAGTGGCGCAGCGGTTGAGCGCTGGGTTGCGAAGCTGCCCGCGGCCTCTGCGGCGCCGGTTCGATCCCCGGCTGCTCCCCGGCCACCGGAGGAGGGTCCCACATGGCGCGCAGACCTCTCCTGCCGCCCGCTGCTCCCCTCAGCAGTGTACTTCGGTCCTTCTGCCTGCTCTGCTCCCCGCTCTGGCTCTGGTGAATTCTCTCACCCTCCCGCGCTTCTGACTATTACCCAGTGCTTGTATAAATAAATAAATAAATCTTTTAAAAAAAAATAAATAAATAAAAGTTTAGCATTTAAATTACCTAACAACACAATGGATATACAGGAACATACCTATTAAACTTACTGATTTAGCTTTAATTTAGCAACTAGTAATCTTATATTTATATATCTTCTCTCCTTAGTGCTACTTGAAGCAGTTAAAATATTGATTTTCTGTTACTGGTTTTTTTTTTTAAGCATTCTACATGTCTTGCTTCTAACACATACATGCTCAATGACTATTTAACAAGAAGATTTTAGGATTTAAGTAAATTTAGCAGTTTATCTAAATAAATTCTTTAGAACATGATGAAACAATAATGATGAAGGCTAGGTGGTGTATTATTTTTTTATATCAAGGGTAGAAATTTTCTTCCACAGCTAATACTTTATAATTTTAGAATACATTTTTTGGTAAATTTATCTGAACCCTGTATGATTTCTTTGTTTCTCAGTGACCAATTCATGTGATTCAATCTGCAAATCACTTTATCTTTCCAAAAAATTTGTTAATACTGTCAATTACTTCAAATTTCTATGATAAATGGTAAGTTTTTATATAGTAAATTGCTGTGTATACTGCTCCATTACTTGCTGATATTACACAATACCTAACCTCGATTTTTGAGATGCCACAAAGCCAGAGACAAAATGTTTCCATTTCCAATAACAAAATTAAGAACATAGATTAAGTCATGTGCAAATTTTCCTTGAGGATTTTATTTTTAATTATAAATGTAACTAACAGAATCAAATAATAAAATAATTACAAAGTAAAAATCAAAATCAACAAGCAACTATAAACCAGAGACACACTATGGGTGGGAGTAGAGGGAAGCGGGGAGAGGAAGGATTAGGGTCAAAATAAGGGGGGGGTGCAATTATATGGGGACTATAACCAAAATGAAAATGCATACATTGTGTAAAAATGAAAAAATGATATAAGAATTATATAAAATAAAACATTAAAAAATTAGGACCATAATTTCACTTTTTAAACTTTTTGAATTCACAGAAATATAATTAAAAGGCAATAAAAATCATATTACACAGATTTGCATAAAATGTATTAAGTATGCATTAAGCAAATTTTTTTCATCGAATGTATGGCATAAAATGGTACTTTGACATTTGTTGTGCTAATGAATGGGATAATTTATAATAGTGTTTTGCCTATGATTAAATTTTCATTTATATATGTTATACATGAAAATTCATATATATGTATATACATTTGTGTATATATGTGTGTTCATTTGCAAATTATTTCCTCTAACTCCTGTTAGGGCTGTTAGGGCTAACTTTTGTTAGGGCTATATTTTGAAGATATATGCATTAATAGTGGAAATCAAATCATATATACAGAATAAGCATGAGAAAATGAATGTTTACTTAATTCTTCTCACTGTACAGATATAGCCTGTTTTTAAGGAACTGATGTGTGAGTCACAAAAGAAGTCTATAAAAGATCTTTCGTTAGTGTTACATTTTAATGATATACATTATTTGTGAAAATCAACTCATAATGTAGAATAAACATAAGAATATATGAATAATTATTTAAGTTTAATTCTTCTCAATGTATAGATTTAGCTTGCTTTTAAAAAACTGATGTGTGACTCCTAAAAAAAAAAAAACCCAAAGAAAGAAAGAAGAAAAATACCATTCTCTAAGGGAACGGTTACAGACAATTCCATTATCCTTTCTTCTTGATCATGCTTTGTGTGATTAGCAGCCAAACTAGCCCACTGTGAAACCCAACGTTTGTTTCCAGATGAAGATGTACCTTCCTAAAGGAAGAAAATACAGGAGAAAAATGAAGAGAATGAGCTAATATAATCTGGTGAAATCGGATTATCATGAAAAAGAATTCTGTTTAGTAATGTTATCCTACCAAATGAAGAAACATATGAACTTCACATTACTATAATATCATTTATTAAATTTCCCACATACATATTAAATACATAATAATGAAGATTCTCTAGATGGCTCTTTTAACTATATTTTATTGTCACTATAATAGCGTATAAATTTCTCTACTGATTAAATAATAACAATGATATTAAAATAAACTCTTGGAGCTAGATAAACTTAGGTATATTATCACAGTTTGCAGCTAAGACAGTAGAGTTAGTTTACTCTATTCTGTGAACAACAAATCTAAAGGTCTAGCCCCAAGCTAGTATATTTCTAGGAATCAGAGAAGTTCCAGAGTATCAAGGAGTATTAAATCTGTCAGCTCAATTCTTCAGGGATTTCAAAAATAAACCCATAATTTTCGACTTCTTTCTTTAATACCTTACTATTTCCAGGAGCTAGAAATCACTCCATCTTTAAGATATTTTCTCTAAACAGTCTGAGACTACACCTACCCATATTTAGATCTATGTTCTTTGAACCCTTACAGCGAAGTATGAAATGGAATTTAAGTTATGATGTTCCATAGACTTACGGACATATATTGGTATTTCTTAAGACCCCCCACGAGTAATCTAGGCATTTAATATGGAAGATCTAGGGACTATAGAAAAAATTGTTTCCTCACTAAAAATCTAAGCAAGGCTTAATATTGAATTTGAAACAACTACTAGAAAGGAATGGAAAGCAAATGAACAAAAATTTATTTGAATTATTCAAAACAATTTTTAAAATTTATTTACTTATTATTTTAATTGAATTATAGTGGTTATTTCATTGTATATGAATCAAAGGCATATCACACTTCTTCATATACATGTCACAATACCACACCCACTACCAACGTATCCTCAGCTGTCCAGCATATTCCATTGTGTCCCCTGTTTTCCCACTCCACATCCTATTTTTTAGCCACAATTCACAATCATATTTTTCAGGTTCAAAACAATTTTTAAGTGTCAGATTTATTGTAGGAATGATGACAAGCTAGATTATGAATAAATGTTTGATACACACTGTAAGTTATATTATTTCAAGAAAGATAGGTTAAAGTAGTACTTGTACATAATGAGGTACACACAGTGAAGCTTAAAGACACCAAAACCTGTTGAATCCTGGATTTTCTATTCAAGATTTTATGGTAGCTGCCCACATTTCTAAGCATCCACACCATGGTAGGAATACCAACAGAGTGGTTTACATTGACACACAATTATGTAGAACCAATCTCTGAAGATTGTTCTAAAGATCTGTTTAAGGTGACTTCTTTAAAGGCAGGTATATACTGGCCTTTTACTTGACATGCATATATGGTATAAAGAGAGGAGGTAGTCTGGTAAGTTCACCTTTACCATGACCATTCTACATTAAACAGAATACCAAAATATTGCCTAAAATAAGTATCACTTGTTTTTAATATGAAAATTAATTATTAGAAACCAGATATAAACAAGGAGATAAAAGGAAGATACAATGCAATAATTGTTTTCAGGAAAAAAACATAATGGGGCAACTTTAAAATTAATAAACAAATATATAGATGTATTTACCTGTATGTAAAAATATTTGATTTAAATGTCATGCAAGTGTTAACATATTATTTATATTTGGCTTTATTTAATATCTTAAGATTTTATTAAACATTTCATACTTATTTACTATTTGTATATTTTAAATTAACTTTTTTCATGAGAGGCAGTACAATATAATGACAAGAGACTCACTTAAGAAATCAAGGTTGCTTATTATGGTTCAAATTCTGGCTAAACAAGTCATAGTTTAGGACCTTGGCCAAGTTAACCTCTACATTAACTTAAGTTTCCTCATCTGTAAAATGGCACACAGAAAACTTCCATTAAATGAGAGCTCTTAGGGCCTCCCTGGTGGCACAAGGGGTTAAGCACCACACTATGAAGCAATCCGAAGCCTCTGCAGCACGAGTTCAATTCCCAGCCAGCCAGGGAGCAACCCATATGGCAAAACAGACCTCTCCTGTCTCACCCGCTGCTCCCCTCAGCAATGTGTTTCAGTCAGCCTGCCTGTTCTGTTTCCCACTCTGTCTCTGGTGAATCCTCTCACCCCCGTGTCTCTGGTCTGTACCCCAGCTCTTGTATGCATAAATAAATAGATATTTTTAAAAATGAGAGCTCTTATCTGAATAAATTATAATTAATACTTATTTTTTACATTTATTTTTGGCATATCAGTGTCCAATGAATTATATTATCTTTTCATATAAATAATTATTGAGTACATAAATCTCAGACAATTACTACATAGGGTGCTTTTACATACTTTATAAAAGTCTCCTCATAAATGGATTATATCAAAATACTATTTGTATATCTGAGAAAACTGAAGATAAGAATATGGATTGAAGTGACTCCACTCACAACATGGCCAAAGTAGGAAGGTTTGGATTACCTTCACCCCTAAAAAACAACTATAAAATAAAAATACTATTTGCTCAAAGGAAGATTAATTTGTTGCTTGACTTTCCCACAGAAGACTAATACCAAGGTTGCTGGCTTCTGCAGGGAAGGAGGGGAAGGAGGTAATGGGGAAAGTAGATACACCAGCCCACAGAGCAGGCTCAGAGATGGCCATGGGGCATGATGAATTTCACCAGTGGGACACCTGTGGGCACAGGAGCAGCCCAATCACTGGGGTTATATACTGGTGCAAGAAAGTTCCTCCCACCTCCCTCCTAGCAGAAAGAAAAGAAAGAGATTTCAGGAGGAGTCTTGCAGGACTTGGTCAGAATTCTAACAGAAGCGGAAAATATCACCACTCCCTTTGGGAAAAAAATCAAAGGGGCAAGTGGCAGGGCTTGCAGGCCAGATCCCTCACATACAGTGATGGTGGTTGACAGTAAATGGCAAACTAAGTCTAAAAGCTTGAGCCCTGTGGACCATGCCCAGCCCTCCTTGCCAGAAGACATAAGCTTGGTCAAAAGGATCTACCATGCAATGGGACAGCAAGAAGTTTGAGCAAGAAGTTTGATAACTGAAGCACTGAGCAGAGGTTGCTTTGGAGAAAGAAGAGGGGAGGCAGAGGTGATCTACTAGCATGTAGCCACTCTCCCTCCTCAACAAAACTGAGTATTTAAGCTCCAGTCTCCACATCTGTCCCCACCTCGTACTATGGCAAACAAAGAATAGAAACAAACAAAAAGCCTGTAGCACCCCAATTACAAAAAAAGCAAATAAGGTGACACAAGTGCCAGGGAAAAAAAGAACATCTGAAAAAAAGATGAAAAAATAAGATGACATATAAAGTACACAGAAACTGATAACCTAGCAAAGACATTAAAACAACAATATTAAAAATGCTAAATGAATTATTTATTGGAAGGTCAGTGAAAGGCAGATAGGCAGGCACAAGATATCAGAAAAGAAAAGAGATCCAGGAACAAAAAGAGTTCTTCGCTAAAGATATGAGACTAAAGATATGAAAGAACACAAAAGGAGACTGAATGAAATAAAGACAAATATAAAAGGCATTGTAAATAAAATTAAAATAGACAAAGACAAAATTTTAGAAATAGAAGACTCAAATGTACAAATCACCCAACAAGAAAGAACAAACAATATTCAAGAAAAAAGAAGAAACCTCTATGAGGAATATCATACTCAACTAGAAGAAGAAAAGTAAGGATAGTGGGTATTCCAGAAAGTTAAGAGAGGGTAGCAAAGACTCTATTCAAGAAATAATAGCTGAGAAATTCTTGAACCTAAAGAATGAAATTAGAAAGAATTTACAAGAAGCAGAAAGGACACCAACATTTCTAAACGTAAATTGACTTGCACCAAGGCACGTGATTGTTAAATTATCAAAAACAAAAATAAAGAAAAAATACTACAGGCAATCGGAAAGAAAAAAAGATAAATTGCAAAGGAGTACAAATTAGATTTTCACTCCAGTCATCCTCCAAACAAGAAGAGATAGAATGAGTGTTCCCAGTCCTAACAGAGAAGAACTGCCAGCCAATAATATTCTATTCTGCAAAACAATCATTCACATATGAAGGTGAAATAAAGGCCTTTCCAGACAAAGATAACTAATGGAGTTTACCAAGAGATCTGTTCTACAAGAAAGACTGAATGGAGTTTTTCAGCTAAAGAAAAAATATGAGACAAAAACCCCTAGCAAAGTGACACAGGTAAACAAAACTGGAAGTATAATAATGACTATTATGAGCCAACAACAAAACACTAAAGAGTAGAAAGAAAAGGGAGAATTAGTTAAGCACCAGCTCATAAGGGACTTTTTGGGAAATAATAAATTTGGTATAAGACACGTGGTAATCACCAACCAAAAATCTAGATCAGAGGCACAATGAAGAAGAAATGAAGAAACAGAGAGAATCAGTAGGGAAAGCAAGGCAAGTGAAAAAGAAGAGAGAAACCAATGGGCAAAAACAAACAAACAAACAAACAAACAAACAAACAAAAACAAAACAGAATACAAAATGGTAGTAAATAACTCCCAAATATCAATAATCACCTTAAATGTGAATGGTCTGAACTCACCAATTAAAAGGCACAGAATGAAAAATTGGGTAAAAAAGTCTCAGTGATCCATATATTGTTTACAGTGTATACACTGAAACACATTTAAAACCAAAAAAACTGAAACAAAACAAGATGCATACTGGAGCCAAAAAAAGGTAAACAAGGACAAAGATAAACACTACATAATCATCAAGGGTAAATTCATCAAGAAGCTATAACTGTCATTAATATCAATGTACCTAACACAGGGTCACCTAGTTACATAAAGCAACTATTAAAAGACTTAAAACAACACTGACAAAAAGACATTTATTTTCTTTTTCTTTTTCTTTTTTTAAAAGATTTATTTATTTATTTATACAAGCACTGGGTACAGTCAGAAGCTCGGGAGGGTGAGAGAATTCACCAGAGCCAGAGCGGGGAGCAGAACAGACAGACTGACGAAATACACTGCTGAGGGAGCAGTGGACAGCAGGAGAGGTCTGAGCACCATGTGGGACCCTCGTTGGCGGCCGGGGATCGAACCGGTGCTGCAGAGGCTGCAGGCAGCCTCGCAGCCCAGTGCTCAATCGCTGAGCCACCAGGGGAGGCCCAAAGACAATTATTTTCTGACGTAAAGGGCTGGATCATCTAGAATAAAATTAACAAGTAAATAAAAGTTTTAAGTGAAGTGCTGGACCAGAAGGACTTAACAGAGCCTTCTATCCCCAAAGAAATGAATACAAATTCTTCCAAAGTACACATGGAGCATATGCAAGAATAGAACATATGCTGGGACACAAAATACATTTCAGAAAATAAATCAAAATAGAAATATCAAGCATCCTCTCTGATCACCAGGGTATAGAGTGAGACACTAGCCACAATAAGCATTTGGCATAAAACAAAACATGCAGAGACTAAACAAAGTATTTCTGAAGAACTCCCAGGTCAAAGAAGAAACCAAAAAGTATCAATAGACTAACAAAAATGGAGAAATAAGATACCAGAATTTATGACATGTTCTAATCTAAAATCAGTACTATAAGGGAAGAAAATATAGGCCCACATCATAAAAAAGAAGAGGAAAATCTCGAATAAACAATTCAACTCTAAGCAGAAGGAAAAGGAAAAAAAGAACAACAAAAGAAACTAAGAATCATTAGAAAGATATAATATAAATTAGAGCAGAAATAAACAAAATAGAAAACAAACAAGTCCAAAAGATCAGTAAAAGTTGAACGGTTCTTTGAAAAATAAGTAAAATATTCAGAGGACAAGATACTATACATAGAGAACCCAAATAACTCTACCAAAATTTCTTAAAATAGTAAATGAATACAGTACAGTATCAGTATACAATATCAGTATACAATACAACAGAAATTAGTTGCATTTCTATACATAAACAACGAATTTGAAGATGGAGAAATAGAAAAATAACCCCATTTACAATCACACAAAAAAGAATGATTGGGAAGGCCCTGCTCAGTGAATACTCTAAGGTTCTGCCAAAGCAAATAAAAGAAGATACAAAGATATGGAAAGATATACTCTGCTCCAGGACTGGAAAAGAAACACTGTTAAAATGGCCATATTACCTAAAGCAATTTAAAGATTCCGTGTAATACTTATCAAAATCCCAATACCTTTTTTTCAAGGAAACAGAACAATTATAAAAGTTGTATGGCATCAAAAAACTCCTAAATAGTCAAAGCACTCCTGAGAGAAAGAAGAAAAATGAAAGTATCACACTTACTGACTTCAAATGATAGGGCACAGCAATAATAATCATAACATTAATGGTATTCACAAAAACAAAAACAAAGACTGATAGACTAGGACAGAAAGCACCAAGATAAACCCAAACAAATGTGGACAGTTAATCTTTGACAAAGGAAAGCCTCTTTAACAAATGACATTGGTAAACATGAATAGCCCAAGCAAAATAATGAAACTACATACACACTTAACTCCATATATAAAAATTAACTGAAGATGAATTAAGGATTTGGATTTGAGAACTGAAACTACAAAATATTTAAAAGAAAATAGAGAGCATATACTACAGGAAATCCACCACAAAGCTGTATTTGTGGACTTACCCCGATGGCAGGCGAAACAAAAGCAAAAATAAACAAGTGGGAATACATCAAACTATAACACTTTCGTACCTCAAAAGAATCCACCATGAAAACAAAAAGCAACCTAAAGACTAGAAGAAGATGTTTGCAAATCACAATTCTGATGATTTTCAAAATAAAGTACTTATTTCAAGAATAAGGTAACAAACAACCCAATCAAAAAATGATCAAAAGACCTAAATGGACACTTTTCTAAAGACAATTAGATAACCTACAGGCACACGAAAAATTGTTCAACATCCCTTCTTAAAATGAAAATTGAAAGGACAATGAAATATAATCTCATCCCTCTGAGAATGGCATGTATCAGAAGAGTGGAAACAAATGTTGGAAGGAGGTCAAACAAGTATGATTTAGCAACACCTCTGGTAGGTATTTACCAAAAGAATAACAAAACACTAAGATGGAAAGACTTATGTACACCTATGTTCATATCAGCAATTTCCATAAATGCCAAGTCATGGAACCAATCTAAGTGCCCAATGACAGACAACTGATTAAAAAAAAAAAAAAACAACTAAGGACTGAGGAATACTACTCAGTTATTAAAAGAAATAGTGCCTTTTGGGACAAAATGGATGGACCTAGAGGTGATTATGCTAAATCAGAGTGTGAGAGATTATGTTAAGTGAAAGTGAGGGACAGAGAGCAGATGGTTCCATTTATCTGTGGAATATAAATCACAAAAAATATATATTGGCAAAGCACAGCGAAAACAATTCTTAGACTTAGTGAAAAATATACTGGTTACCAGAGGAAATATAGGTGGAAGGAGAAGGGGGTAGGGGAAGGATGGAGATAGGGGCACTAGCATGGGAAGTTTGGTAGGTGAGTGAAGCATATGTATATATGGAGGAATATAAAATGCAACCTCAAAGTTTAGAGACATGTAAATGACTGACAAATTAACTAAAAATTGTAATAAAAAAAAGAGAGGAGAAGTGACTAACTCAAAGGTACTTGTTCAACTTGGCAGTTCCAGGCTTTGCATTCTGGTGTTTCCAGTTCTACTATATACCATTATGCCACTGAAACTACTGTCATCAAGCCATCCCCTTCATTAACTTCACATTAATCTAATTATATCCTGGGCTGTACTAGACTGTGAATTTTTTAGATATACAGTCTTATCTATCAAGTACAACCTTGCTTATATTTCCTGGCATGATAAATTTTTCTATCCCAAATGCTACAAGGTATAATCTTATATATTTTTTGCTTTATCTTGTAACGCCAATTAGAGCAGTGAACAATTAGAGCTCATTAACTGCCTATTTGAAATTTCACATTTCCCCTTATTGACAAAAGAGTATTAATTAAAAAGAATCAAAACCTGAATTGGAAGTATGGCAAAACTCCTTTAGGCTTTTACAAGAAAGATAATAAAAATTTAGTTTTTAGAAGTATTTTACAAGGTAATATATTACTTAATTACAATTTATAAAAATTTACATTTTGTGCATAATTTACATTTTGTGCAGAAGAGACATATACCTCTAAACTGTGAAATCCAGATATAGTCAGTGATTTTCTTCCTTCCATTCCTTCTGTAGCAGAATTGAGAGTCCAATCTTTTATCAGATCTTTATGTTTTTCATTGATAATAGGTCTATTATAATCCTGATTGTCATCTACTCCAAATACCTAGGAGGAGAAAATTATTTTATAAATGAAAACTTGATAACCATCAGCAACTTTAGAGGCAAATAAAAATATTCTAAATTAATTTAAATAGGTAATTTCAATAATGAGGATAACTTTAATGACAAGGTTACATCCAACTGGTATAATATGCTAGAGAGAAAAATTAGGCAGTGGACGCTTATGCAAGTGTAACTATCCTTTTCAAATATTTACTAAATGCACTCTTTGATAAAAAATAAGAAATATTCAGGACATAACATTCATTAAAAGATATTTATGATGTTAAACATTATAATAAAGTAGAGTACCAGTTCAGTTTCTCTTTTTTGTCTCTGTTGTTATTTTTCAGTTGAACTGTAAAAATATGCCTGATTTTGTGGTCCTTCCCTAACAAATGTTCAATATTTACGTGAGTTAAATTTACACACAGTAATTTCTAAGGTTCCAAATAAGAGATATCATTGTATAATCTTTGTAAATGGTATAGCCTAATTCTCTAAGCTCATTTGCCTAAAAACCATACAAAGGCCTTTGCTGGAAATGTAGTTCCTGGGTCTACTTATACAGATTAGCATTTTCAGTATCCAGGTTGTGTACGGTCTATATTCTGAAATATTCTAAATAGAAAGACCAACAATCATATACCTTTAAGGACAGGTCCTGAGTCTTACTTTTTTCCTAGTATATAATAGGCCCTGATTGTTGCACCAAATTACAGAAAGGTTGTAACCACATAAATTTTGACATTCCACTTTACTATTAAGTCTCTATTTGTTTTCAATGCTTAGTTTTTATAGGTATTAGTTGTGGATGTAATAATTATTATCAAGTAAATACTATGTGTACAAAGTAGCACTTTGTAGAAAGGATCGTGAGTCTTCGTTTTCTATAAAAAGGGAAAAATACCTTAAGTTAAACTATTTTCTAGAAAACTTTTAAATGATCCTAGAGTAGAACACTACCTGATGACCTCTGAAGTTCTCATCAGTAAAGCATTCATGCTATTTTCAAATCATTAAAACTTGGAAAATTAACCACTAGATAGCCTTATTGTTTACAATTTAATTCAAATATAACTAGAATTATGATTTTAATTCTGTTTAACTCAATGTTCAAATTATCACAGGAATTATTTCTAACTCAAGTTACTGACCTCCAAATCTATCAAAGCTTATTTGCTTGATTTTATAATTATCAGAAAAAAATTTAACTGGTTTGGAAGTATAAGTTGAAAACAGCCAAGTGATTATTTGCAAGTTGTTTCTCTATGGTATGTTAATTTAATTATTACCTTAAAAGATTTTTGCATTTGGCATTATTTCATTTTAATTTATATGCAAAATGTATTTCCAAAGTTTGATTTCCTCAAACATCTAAGAACTAGCAGTTTTTCAAATAAAATATAACAAATTTCTCCAAGTCACTTCTGACACTACTTTGAAATAACAACAAAAGACATGCACACAAAAGACCTACTGCTTTTGGGGAAGGGGAACTGAAGTTATATAGAGTACTCAAAAGACTTTCTACACATTACTTTAAAGCATTATAGATAGCTCAAATATATGGCAGAGAAGTAACAATCTTATCACCCATAAAAGTGATAAGGTGTGAAGCATTATTATATGGGGGGGGGGGAAGAGCCTTCAAATCCATACCTGTACTTTCTGTTACCTCTCTGTAAATTTAGTAATAGCAACGACTAGCTTACCTTTAAATCCATATCATCATTTTTGTGACTAGGTACAAAAACATCCATTTGGACAACATTCATGTGAAAACAAAGAGGGCATAAAGAGCTTATACTCTTATGCACTTTAAGCTATTATGCTTTTCGCGTTTAAAAAATAACATCTAATGAAATTTCCATCTAATGGCTGGAAACAACTTGAGAGATCTACAGATCAGGGACAAAGTTTGCTAGATTTTTCTGTTTTCATTTTAGATTTTGTCCCTTGCTTATTTCACCTTATTTCAAGGTTTCACTTCAATTTCCAACTTAAGACCGGTGCCCATCTGTCTGTCGTTTCTATTAGATGGCACAAGATATTTAAAATGCACTATGTTAAAGCAGACTCATGATTCTCTTTTCTTCCCCACTGTGATCTGGGCTCAAATATAACATAGCAAACACAAAAATCAGGATCTCTTATTCAGATAATGGTATGGTATAGGGTATGATAATTACTATTTGCAAGCTACTGGACCAGTCAACAATGGGGATTTAAAAAGAAATACATAACTAAGCTCTGACTCTAACGGAGCTTAAGTCTAACATAGGAACTAATGAAAAAGGAGAATGTCACCTGACCCATGCCAGAGTACTAACTCTGCAGTTAAACAAAATTTCTGTAAGAACCAGATTTTAAATTTGAATTTAGAGAAATTAAAAAGAGGAATCTGGCAAGATGGTGGAGGAGTAAAGACATTGTGTTCACTTCCTCTATATACGCACAGCTAGAGTGCTGTGAACAAATCCAAACCCCCCCACCCCTCCCACCAAGGGAAAAACAGATAATAACAGCACACACTAGCAGCAAAGGTGCAATGAAAAAGTGTAGGAAAACCTTTAAATGTTCATAGTGACATAGGGGCAGTAAAACCCATAAAAGGCAAAAGCAACTGCTGTTCAGAACTCCCCACACTTGTTGATTAAGGGACACAAGACAACACCAGGGACTAGAGATCTGCCACTGCAACAGATAAGGGAGTGTGTAGAATTGGCATCCAGGATAAGGGTGCACTGCTGGAGAGCTATAGGTGTAACAGTGCAGAGAAAGGATTACTGACTTTATTTTTTATTTTTATTTTTTTAAAGATTTATTTATTTATTTATACAAGCACTGGGTACAGTCAGAAGCACGGGAGGGTGACAGAATTCACCAGAGTCAGAGTGGAGAGCAGAGCAGGCAGACTGACGAAATACAATGCTGAGGGGAGCAGAGGGCGGCAGGAGAGGTCTACACGCCATGTGGGACCCTCGCCCGGCAGCTGGGGATCGAACCAGCGCTGCAGAGGCTGTGGGCAGCTTTGCAACCCAGTGCTCAACCGCTGTGCCACCGGGGAGGCCCTAAACTAAGGCTCTTAATATAGAATAGCTGGAGCCTGAACCAGCAAGGAGAAATAGGTCAGAACATCTATGTCACTATAGAAGAGGTTACTACTGAAAGCCAAGGGGACATATTCAAAACACCAACCACCCCTTGCTACAGGAATAAAACCAAAATATGGAATGAACCCTTCCATAAACTAGAGCTCAAGCACCTGTTAACAACAGGTGCAAATACCCCTAGGTTTTATACTAGAAAAAACAACTTCTGGCCTGTGACCTCATATCAACTAAAATCCTTGCCCAGCACTGCATCTAGTGCATAAAGACAGCCTTGATATGGAAGTGCATATAAGAATATAAGAGGCAGTAAGACCAAGGAGCTGGCCTACAGGAGGGGCTCACTATAGATGGCCACCACACAGCTCTGGTACACAAAGCAAAGAAGGGTATTTGAATCCCTGATGCTCCCTGGCTTTGATACTTTGATGCACTACTGTCCAGGTCCTCCTTATACCTACTGTGCATTAAAAAAGATAAACTCATGCCATTCGCAGCAACGTGGATAGAGCTAGAAGGAATTATGCTCAGTGAAATAAGCCAGAAGGAAAAAGAAAAATATCGGATGGTTTTGCATATAGCAGGAATATAGGGGAAAGAAATAAGACATCAATATAAAAAAAATAATAACAGTACAAAACACAACAAAGCAAAAACAGACAATTATAAACCAGAGACATACTGCAGGGGAGGAGGAGGGAGAGGGATCAGAGGGAGGGAGAGAGGAGCACAGAGGACTGTGGTGATGACGCATGGGTGCCTTGGGGAAGGAAATTTTATGTGGACTCAATCTGAGGGTGTGGGGGGAAACAAATATTGTCTTAAGTGTTTTTTTTTTAAATGATAAATGTTAAAATAAAAAATCAAAAGAAAGAAAGAAACAAACAAAACTTTAGCTAGGATAACAAAGAAAATATTTAAAAGAGAAAATATTAATAAACAGAATCACAAGTGAACAATGACAAATAATGACAGCACAGAAATACAAAGGATAATAAGAGATTACTATGAATGGTAATATGCAATAAATTGATAACCCTGAAGAAACTAATTTCTAGATCAATAAAGTCTACCAGGACTAACCCAAGAAGAAACAGATGAGCTGAACAAAACAATCACAATCATCGAAATTAAAGCAGCAATTAAAAAAATCTCAAAAATGAAAGTCCATGGCACGCAGACCTCTCCTGCCGCCCGCTGCTCCCCTCCGCAGTGTACTTCAGTCCTTCTGCCTGCTCTGCTCCCCGCTCTGACTCTGGTGAGTTCTCTCGCCCTCCCGCGCTTCTGACTACCCAGTGCTTGTATAAACAAACAAACAAACAAATAAATAAATCTTTAAAAAAAAAAAAAAAGTCCAGTATCAGACAGCTTAATAATGTCTATATTACTCAAATTATTTTTAAAAATACAAGAATAAAGAAACTCTCAAATACAATTTATAGTGACAAACCCTAATACTGAAACTGATAGACATTTGAAGAAAAAAAAATCATAGATAAATATCCCTGTTGAACATTAATGCAAAATCTTCAACAAAATACTAGCAAATTGAATTCAACAGTATATCATAAGGATTATACATCAAGATCAAGTGGGAATTATTCCAGGGATGTAAAGATGCTATAATATATGTAAAGAAATCAATGAAATATATGAACAAACAAAGATAAAATTATGATAGTATCCACAGATACAGAAAAAGCATTTGATAAAATTCATTTATAAAACTATAAGATAAAAATGGAAGGAATTCACCTTTAATATAATATAGCCCCTATACACCATAAGCCAATAACCAATATTATACCTCATGGTAAAAAACAGAAAGCTTTCCCCTTTAGGTCAGGGTCAACACAAGGATGCCCACTGTTACCTCTTCAGTTTAACTTAG